CCATTTAAAAATAACTACTTCCACACTTGTTAAATGTACAGGCAACCACTGTGTATCTGACATGAAATGAAACACTCAGTGAAGTAACATGTATGCAGAGATGCTGAGAAATTATCCCAGCTAAACATATAAAGATAGCAATAGCACTTAAACTTATATAATGCTTCAGAGTGCTTTACAGCCCTCTCTAAGCAGTTTACAAGTCAGCCTATTGCCCCCCAACAATTTGGGTCCCCATTTGACCCACCTCGGAAGGATGGAAGGCTGAGTCAACCTTGAACCGGTCAGGATTGAACACCTGGCGGTGAATGGAGTTAGCCTGAAATACTGCATTCTAATCTCTGCGCCACCAAGGCAAACAGACATGCCAAGATGGGTGTCCAAACACAAACATAATTCACCCTACTAGAAGAAACCATTGGCCAACCATCACCTGATTGGTGGGAGATGCCAAATCTGCAATAGCCAATTATAATGTAATTCTCAGATCCCCAGATTTCTGCTAGGCTTGTTGCTGTTGCGGCTTCAGGAGACTTTTAAGACTGAGGCAGTGTTAAAAAATTATTTCAGTACATAAACATACTCCCCAAGCTGTGCCACTACAAGAGCCAACAGCCCTGAGAGTGACGGGAACTGCTGTTCAATATATCTGGCAGACAGTTGAGATAAGCCACCAGGTGTCATCTATGGTTAAAAGCAAAATAAGAGGATGCTTATCGCCCCCTACTGGTTTTCTGAGTAATGATGCTCCCATTAAAGTAAGTACTTTAATACAGGGCTTTTCAACCAGTGGTACGGGTACCACCTGTGGTACATTGGCACCTAGCAGGTAGTACGCGACCATCCTAGAAAAGTGGTAGCGGGGGAAGGGAATGAGCTGAACTGGTGGCAGCATCGCACAAGCCTGAGTGAGAGATGGCTGCAGCTGCAGGGCTACCAGGGCTCAGCGGAAGTGCCAGGATCAATGCCAGGCTCCAGCTGGAGCTCGGCGCTGATCCTGGCGCTTCTGCTGAGCCCAGAAGAAGCGCCAATCAGCTGGAATGTTGCAGCCTCTCCAGGGTCTTGTGATTTACATTCAGATGCTTGGCAACTGATTCATATTTACGACGGTCAGTGTTCCAGGGTCATGTGAAGTGACCAAAACCTGCAACCATCCAGCAGATGGGGGAATAAAAACCAAACACCCCCCTGCTGCCAATCCTCAAAAGAAATGCTCACAACAATGAAAACCTCGGATAGGAGGAAGAGTGTGGCTGAGTGGGCAGGCAGGTGTCTTGCTCAGCTGTGGCTTGTGGCGGGGGGGAGCACTTTTTCCAGTGCCATTGTAACTTCGAACAGTCACTAAGCAAACTGTTGTAAGTCAAGGACTACCTGTACTTCATCACTTTTTTCCTTTTTTGGGGGGAGGTCATCAAGTTTTTCACACCTTGCTAGGCGACAGGTGGTACTCGGATGTTGCCATATCCTAAAAGTGGCACAATGGGTGAAAAGATTGAAAAGCCCTGCTTTAATACAGGAGTCCCCAACCTCTGGTCCATATACCGGTACTGGGGCACAGCATGCCAGCAACCGGTCCACATACACAAGCAAAGCCCCATCTGTGGGATGCAGGCAGCACACAAAACCACATACTCTCTGGTCCACGGAAAAACCTTTCTCCATGGAACTGGTCCCTCGTGCCCAAAAGGTTGGGGACCTCTGCTTTAATAAGTACAGCAGCAAGCAACATTTTTGAAAGCCTACCACTTTGGCAAAAATAAACCTTAGCAGAGTTTACTTTGTTCTTAAAAATATTAAAAATAAAAAGGTGATTCCTGGGTAAACTCATGTTTAGCTAGCAATAAATGCAAGAACACCAGGAAATTATAAAACTATAAAAAGTTTTAATAAATTTAAAACACCAAGTAACACGGAAACTAGGATCAAAGCGCAGATGGATTGGCGGGGGCCCGTGACGAGATCCATGAGCCGGGCGCAAAGAACGCCACAGCCATAAATAGCCTCTCCCATCGACTGGAAACCACCCTGACGATGCTGGCAGTTGCCGGCGAAAGCTTGGTGTTTTAAATTTATTAAAACTTTTTATAGTTTTATAATCTCCTGGTGTTCTTGCAGTTATTGCTAGCTAAACAAGAGTTTACTCTGTAACTGAGTCAGACCATACTCAAATGTACATTGGGCTGGAATGGCTCTTTTTCAACTGGATCTTGAGGTGGCACTGGAATCAGTTGTATCTGGGGGAAACGAAGCCTTTCCTGGGGTGTCCAATGATAATTTCAGAGGCCACGTTACCTAATCTTCCTGGCATTTTCCCTCCTGCCATCTGTGAATTCATTTTATTTATTTATTTATCAGACTTATATACCGCCTTAAGTGCAAGCACCAGTAAGCAATGTATATATATATTTACATTGCCCCCAACAATCTGGCTCCTCATTTTACCTACCCCGGAAGGATGGAAGGCTGAGTCAACCTTGAGCCGGTGTGATTTGAACCGCTGACCTGCTGAACACAGTCAGCTAAAGTGGCCTACAGTACTGCACTCTAACTGCTGCGCCACCTCGGCTCTTTGAGCAAACTAGCATCTTGGACTTAAAGCCAAGGTGATTATTACCATTGAGTTGGAAGGTATTTTTAAAGGTCTGTAATGGTGAATGAGAAGGACCTTGGGGTGGAGGAAGAGATGCTGCCTAGAGAATGGTCAGATAAGGGAGGGCATAACCAGCAGCTGCATAATGGACGGAGAAAGAAACTCAGAAAGGGACCCACTCTAACTTCTCAGACTGAAAAGGAGAGGGCGGGAGATGAGTACTTTCACACTTGCAAGTTTGTCAATGTAACTTTACAATAAATACAAATAACTCATCTGGTTGTGTTTCTGGTGTGGCCTACCTGGGAAGGCTGACAAGGTCACTTAATCCAATTCTCTACCAATGAAAGAGGTCCATCATTGCTGATCCTGGTCCAGCTGGCTCGGCTTCCAACAGACCTACTCAATTTGGCCCACTCCAGACTGTAACCCACTTGCCAATTACTGTGTCTGAACTTATTCATCCTGGTCTGAACTGAATCCAGCTAAAGAACTAGATTTAGTTCTCAGCAGTTCTTACACACTAGGTGCTTCTGGAAAACAAGAAATACCACCGCTGTTTCAGCTGTTGCTGCAGTAATTCTTTATGAACAGAGAAGCAAATGTTTCTTCTGCTTAGCTAAAATGGCAGAACACTATCCATTTTTATCTGGCAAAATGAGGCATGAATCGGCACACCTGTGTAGCTCAGTGTTTCCCAAACTTGACAATTTTAAGGCATGTGGACTTCAACTCCCAGAATTCCACAGCCAGCGTTGCTGGCTGTGGAATTCTGGGAGTTGAAGTCCTCATGCCTTAAAATTGTCAAGTTTGGGAAACACTGGTGTAGCTCATCTGGAAAGATAAGAAAGATAAGAAAGCCTGACTTGAGGAACCTCAAAAGAAGCCAACAACAACTTCAGATCTTCTTTGAGTTAGGTTAGGTTCACATACTGGAAGGCCTCCATCCTTTTTGTTCATTTTGATGCTTCAGGAAGCTTCTGAGGTCCAAATACATACAGAAAGACTGACCACGGAGCCACTGTGAGAGATTGTTAAAGGCTGGGAAAGCAGTGTAAGATTTCAGTGGGTGAGTCAGCTGAAACCTTATCTCATCATCGGCAACTCAGTCAGGTGAGGAGAAGTGTGGGGAAAAAGCATCTTGAACTATTCAGAGAGAAGGATAATAAATCAGGCTGGAAAATTCCCAATACACTTTCCAAGGTTCTATATTTACTCCAAACAATAAAGAGACTTGACTGAACTGTGTTTAATTCTTTGGTCTTGCCCAGCTACAGTATGTGAGACTTGACAAGCTACAGAGTTATTCTACCAGCTTCTATTCACTTGGAAATTTGAAAAGAACCATGAGTTACATTCCTATGACATTCCTACAATTCCTTCTTGAAGAATGGTCCATTCTCCGGGTGTCAATGCCAGGCACCCTACCAAATTCCACATGGGCACAGTATGAACACGAGGAGGGAACGGAGGCAGAGCTGGCTTGGGAAGATGTTATCGGCAATGTGTGAAAAATTGGCGTTGTACAGAATGGCTAGGAAATCTATTGTGACATTTTTAGGCAAAGTATGAAATGGCCGTGTTATGTTAATATGCTATACAGTAGTCCTCTATTTACGACCACAATGGAGTCCAACATTTCTATTGTTGAGCGAGACAGTTGTTAAGCGAATTTTGCTCCATTTTACGACCTTTCTTGCCACAGCTGTTAAGTGAATCATTGCAGTTGGTAAGTTGGTAACAAGGCTGTTCAGTGAACCTGGCTTCCCCATTGACTTTGCTTGTCAGACGGTCGCAAAAGGTGGCCCTGGGACACTGCAACCATCATAAATGTGAGTCTGTTACAGCCAAGGGTCTAAATTTTTTATCATGTGACCATGAGGATGTTGCAACAGTCATGTGAAAAATAGCCATTAAGTCACTTTTTTTCAGTGCTGTTGTTAATTTCGAGTGGCCGCTAAACAAACTGTCGTAGTCGAGGACTACCTGTATAGATTCCCTACACAATACCTAGGCATTATGCAGAACGACAAGAGCTATTTAGGCAAAGTATGAAAAGAGTGCCATGAAAAAGCTTAACCCTAGCCCAGTGATGGCGAACCTTTTAGAGACCGAGTGCCCAAACTGCAACCCAAAACCCACTTATGTATTGCCGGGTGCCAGGTGGGTATGGCCCACTCGGTGGGCGCAGCTACAGTGGGTGTGGCAGACTGGGTGGGCGTGGCCACACGATGGGTGTGGCTGCAGTAGTCATCGCAGACTGAGTGGGCACGGCTGGGGTGGGTGTGGCCACCTCGATGTTGCTTATGGGGAGGGACATCTGTGGGAGCCGGGCAGGGTTGGGAGAGATCCAGGGGGTCTCTGGCGGGTGGGATGGTGGGCTCCCCAATGGCGGCTCCAGGCTGGCTGGCCTTAGGCCAGTGATGGTGAACTTTTAGAGACCATGTGTGCTGGGGCAATGGCACGTGCCCACAGAGAGGGCTCTGCGTGCCGCCTCTGGCACGCGTGCCATAGGTTCGCCACCACTGCCCTAGCCCTTTTCATGACACTCTTTTCATACTTAATCCTAATCCTAACCCTTTATTGAAAAAATGTATATGAAAATGAAAGAAATGCAAAATAAAATACAGGACTTTCCTACTGAAAAAAATAAACAAAAGATGCCATTATTGACCCATCTGATACAATAAGGAAGTCCAGAATGGCTTTTCAGTGGAAGTATTTTATATTTTGCTAGTTTGCCTTTTGGTGTTGCACAGACTGCCTAGGAAATCTGTGAAATGTTAAGTGTTTCACGCTCTGATGCCCCATTTTTGGCTTCCTATACATTTCCTAGGCAGTCTTTACAATGCCTAATTTCACACACTGAGAGCAACAAACACATGAAGGTGCCAACTTCAATCCCAAATATTTCTATAACAACAGGGGACGGGAAACCTCTAAGACTTTGGTAAAATTGGAGACCAAGCTTAAACAGACATATAAATACACCAGGCAATCAACCCATTTCATTTTCCAACCTGAGCAACTGTATGCCAACATCAGTGCAGGCACCACCCAGCTTTATATGCTCCAACATAAAGTTGCTTTCATTTGTTTTGACACAAACAAAATATGCACAATTTTGCCTGTCATCCTAGAAGCCTAATATTTTACTGACGTCCAAAAATGCCACTTGTACTAGCACTGATGATGTTACCTAGTTTGGGTAATGAAACGTCTGCAAGTAAACGAGCAAGCTGAGAGAGCACCAAGGACCCCTCAAAGCCACTTGTCCATGCCAAATGAGCAACAGTCCAACTTTCCACCATCTCTTTCACCCACCATAATGTTTAGGAATGGGAAAGGTTCACCATCTTAACAGAATAGCACAAAGGCAGCCCATTTCTCCCAAACGTTCTTGGCTTGTCCATATCCTGAACAGCAAAGCCGTCTCCAGGTATCTCCTTGGTCAAGTTGGCTTCAGAAGAAGAGGAAGGGCAAATGCCACAGATTTACAAGGGGCCGTTCGGCTGCTCTTTATCAGGCTGTACCAGCTCTTGATAGACAAGGGAACGAAGGAAGCGAGGATACGAGTCTTTCTCCATCAACCCAAAGATCCTCTTTTGGGCTTGGTCAAAGCAAGACCGGGTGGGGAGCAAAATGTTCCGATTGGTAACATCTCTGGTCTGAGAATCAAGGTTCACCTGCAACGAGATGCAAATGGTTATCTACATGGAACAAAGAATAGAATAGAATAATAGTAATAGTAATAGTAGTAAAGTTGGAAGGGACCTTGGAGGTCATCTAGTCCAACCCCCTGCTCAGGCAGGAAACCCTACACCATTTCGGACAAATGGCTGTCCAGTCTCTTCTTAAAAACTTCCAGTGTTGGAGCATTTACTGCTTCTGGAGGCAGGTTGTTCCACTGGCTAATTGTTCTCACTGTCAGGAAGTTTCTCCTTAGTTCTAGGTTGCTTCTCTCTTTGGTTAGTTTCCACCCGTTGCTTCTTGTCCTGCCTTCAGGTGCTTTGGAAAATAGCTTAATTCCTTCTTCTTTATGGCAGCCCCTGAGATATTGGAATACTTGGAATATTGGAATAATAACTTTATTATCACTCTGAATGTACACTAATTGGCAAACATTAAAATGAAATGTCGTGGCATACGGCTCTCAAAGGGTCACCACCTCTGATGTACACTAGATAAATATGACAAAAATAAATAAATAGATACAGAATTATGCATATAACCACAAATATTATATGACACAGAGAAACAAAACAGTCCAGTTTGGGTTATGTATACATGTGCATGGCGAGAAAAACGAATCTTGCAAGTTTACCAGGCAGATGGCATAGGGAACGAAGTTATTACAGAATCGGGTAGACCTGCTATAAATACTTCGAAACCTCCTCCCAGAGGGGAGCAACAGAAACAGACCGTAAAGTGGGTGTGTGGGGTCTCTAACAATGCTTCAAGCTCTAAACACGTAGCATTTATAAACAGAATCCTGAATACCAGGGAGCGAGCTTCCTATGATCTTCTCGGCTGTCCTTACCAATCTCTGTATGGATTTTCTTTCTTTTTTTATAAATATTTTTATTGAGTTTTATAAAGATAATAAGGGGATAGGGTCAAAAAGGGTAAGACAACGGGAAACATACAAAAAGGTTAGACCAGGGAAAAGGGATAACATCAAAGTGTGATTAATCCCACAAAATAACATTGCTTCAACAAGTCTACCAGTCCGGGTTTACATATTAAATCTTAATAATTACTCTATTATTAAACAACTTTTCATATAATCACGTAAATAACAAATTAGTCAATAAATCTCATTCATTTTATTACTTAATAATGCTTAATATTAATTAATTATAATCACTTTAAAATAATAATATACTACATATTAATTATAGTTTACCATATTATTTAAGATCACAAATATACAAAGAGGAAGAAGAAAAAATAAGAACAAGTTCATACAAATAATCATGGAATATAAATACAAATTATCAATTATCTCTTTAAATTTCATAACCTTTTCTCACTCTAGCGTGTTTCTAACCAATAATAAAGTTTTCCCCATGTTTTAAAGTAAATTGTGTCTTCTTTCTCTTTCATTTCTAAAGTCAGTCTATCCATTTCTGCACATTCGAGTATTTTTGTTATTATAGCCTGGTAAATTTTCATTTTTCCAAAATTGGGCAAATATTATTCTTGCAGCTGTCAGCACATACAATATTAAATACTCATTCTCTTTTCCATAATTCAAACCTAATATTCCTAATAAACAAAGTTCTGGTTTAAATTCTATCTGTATTTTAATCATCTCTTCTAGCCACATATGGATCTTAAACCAAATTTTTTTAACATTAGGACATATCCACCAGAGATGGTAATAAGTGCCTGGTTGTTGTTTACATTTCCAACACATATCTGATACATTTTTAAACATTTTCTCTAATCTAACTGGTGTCATGTGCCATCTATAAAACATTTTATATAAGTTTTCCTTATATGTAGCTGCTTTAGTAAATTTAATATTTCGGTCCCATAGTTTTTGCCAATCTTATAAATCTACAGAATAACCAAAATTCTTTGCCCACACTATCATTGTTTCTTTCACTTGTTCTTCTTCCATCTTCCAGTTTAGCAGGAATTTATAAAGTTTCTTAATCAGATTTTCATCTGTATGGATTTTCTACCTGAGGCACTGCTGCCACCAAACCAGACAGTGATGCAGTTTGTGAAAAGTGGCTGCAACTGTGATTTCTTTAAACATGAATAAATCTTATTTGTAGTAGCAGGGGCTTGAAACGAGATGTCGTGAGTTCAAAAGTTAGAAACCTGATCACAGTGGATGCAGAGTTTTAATGAATAAATGCTGATGCAGAACAGGTGTTGACATAGACATTAGTGGACCTCCCTCCTTTTAACTGCATCTATAGGTAGTCCTTGACTTGCAACCACAATTGGGATCAGAATTTCTGTTATTAAACAAGATGGCTCTTAGGTGAGTTGTGCCCAATTTTACAACCATTTTTATTACGATTGTTAAGTGAATTACTACACTCCCTAAGTAAATTGTGAGGTTGTTAAGCGAATCTGGCTTCCCCTATTGACTTTGCTTGCTGGAAGCCCCCTGGGAAGGTTGCAAATAATGATCACATGGCACTTGGGATGCTGCAGTCATCATAAGTCCATGCTGGTTACCAAGCACCCAAATTTTGATCATGCAATTGTGGAGGATGCTACAATGGGCATAATGCAAGTTCTATGTCACTTATTTTAGCGCTATTGTAACTTCGAATGGTTGATAATCAAATGGTTGTAAATGAAGGACTACTGCACTTGTAGTTTATTCAGAGAATTCACAGTGCAGAGAAGAGCAACAAAGATGATTAGGGGACTGGAGGCTAAAACATATAAGGAACGATTGCTGGACTTGAGTATGTCTAGTTTAACGAAGAGAAGGACGAGGGGGGACATGATAGCCGTGTTCCAATATCTCAGGGGCTACCACAAAGAAGAAGGAATCAAGCTATTCTCCAAAGTGCCTGAAGGCAGGACAAGAAGCAACGGATGGAAACTAACCAAAGAGAGAAGCAGTCTAGAACTAAGGAGAAATTTCCTGATAGTTAGAACAATTAATCAGTAGAACAACCTGCCTCCAGAAGCTGTGAATGCTCCAACACAGGAGGTTTTAAAAAAGAGATTGGATAACCATTTGTCTGAAATGGTACAGGGTTTCCTGCCTGAGCAGGGGGTTGAACTAGATGACCTCCAAGGTCCCTTCCAACTCTACTATTCTGTTCTGTTCTGTTCTAATCTAGTCTAGTCTAAAAGTGGAATTAATGCACAGCATATACACTTCCTTTGTTTTTTCTCAACAGGTTCATTAGTTTCTATTAGTTCCTCATATCATATTTAATGAACAATGGGCTAAATTTGCACATCACCCTACAATGGGCTAAATTTGCACATCATTTGCATGGTCATGGTGGGTTAAATAAACCACAGTGGGATGGGTTTACATAATACTAAATCCAAACTAAACAAAGCAAATAGCAGACCCAGTGTGAGATATGAGCTAAATTATTCCACAGCTCCTACTGCATATTTCAGTCAAAAAGAGAATATCCAGGATCATTCCACACAAACAAGTAATCCTCGACTCACAACTGTTACAAAGTTACAACAGACCCCCCCAAAAGCTACTTACAACCTGGATTTGAAGTTCCGATGCCCACTTAACCACCCCACAGTCATGTGAATGTATGACATTTTTGCTGTGTTATGATTTATTGATTTATATTTTTTACTTCTTCACCTTAAAATTTTATGTTTTTGCTGGAAACCCATGTTTATTTCTGGTTTCTGGCAAAAAATACCTCATAGTGAAAAATGAACTCGCTCAGTGACCACAGCATTCTCTTAATGACTGTGATGCTTGGTTTATGATTGCCAGGTTCGCTTAATGACCCACTGCAAAAAAAAAAACCCTGTAAAATGAGGCATGATCATGTGATGTGATCTGCTTCTCGTCATAACTTAGGACTGAAAATGAAAGCTCAATCACAGTCATAAGGGGAGGACTAACCGTATGTCCTGCAGTTACAAGTCCAAGAAAAGCAGTTACATGTCCTGCAACTTTCAACTACACAGAGTCCTAAGATTAACTGAACAGTAGCAGGACATGTGTTCAGCAGGTCAGCGGTTCAAATCTCACCGGCTCAAGGTTGACTCAGCCTTCCATCCTTCCAGGGTAGGTAAAATGAGGACCCAGATTGTTGGGGGCAATGTAAATATATATATATATATATATATACATTGCTTACTGGTGTACACCGCTTAGAGAGTGCTTGCACTTAAAGCGGTATATAAGTCTCATAAATAAATAAATAAATAAATGATTGGGTCTTATGCTGGCTTCAACAGTCCTGTTTGATTATTAACTTCACTCTCTGACTTCCTCTTTGCTAATCTTTGCTAAACAACAGCAGAGCCCAGGGACTATCAGTATGATTCAGGAAAACAACTGAGTTCAAATGTGGAGACTTGACTCTTTAAAACAACGAGGGATTACTTACAAACGAGCTAGGTCTTTAACACAGAAAAGGAGACACTCTTGTTTGACTCAAAGGATACTACAAGGCATAAAAAGTGACTTATTCATTGATATAGAGGCGGTGCTATGGAAACCTGTTTGGCATAAAAGGAAAGCTAGAATAAGATTTAAGAGTTTTGACTTAAGGCTCTATATATTGGATTTTAAGGCTTACTAGATATGGATTGATTTATGGCTTAAGAAGGTTAAATGAGATGTTAGATTGAATAAAAATTAATTAAAGGTTTGGATTTAATAAGAAGACATTTGTCTATATATTAATATGTTTGTTGTGGTAATAGTAATTTTGGGAGGAGGTTAAAGGAGTTTGACCCAGATATTGAAGGAGTGATAGATTATAACATATAATAGAAATAGAAAGGTATTTTTTTGTTTTGTCTTTGTTTTTTTTTCTTTGTTTTTTTTCCTTTCTCTCATTTATTTTTTGAATTAATATTTTTATTATTAGGAATGATAGCTATTTTGTAATGGAAGAAGAATAAGAAAAAAAGAAGAAATGATATTAACAAATGTTTATTGATTATGTTAAGGAAAAAGGGAATGGGGAGACACCCGAAGTGTTAATTATGTATTTAGATTAGCAATATGGAAGATAGTAACTGAAATAGTAAAGCTTAATACAGGATTTGGACTTATTTAGATGAAATGTTACTAAGAAAAAAAGAAGGAATGATATTAATAAATGAATATTGATTGTGTTAATGGAAAAAAAAAGGTATGGAGAGACATTTGAAGTGCTAATTATGTATTTATGTTAGCAATATGGAATATAGCAATTGAAATAGTAAGTTTAATATATGATTTGGATTTATTTAGATGAAATCTTATTGATGACTGTTTTGACTGACTTAGTTGTACTGAAATACATTAACTTGAATATAATATACTACTAGAGCAGTGGTTCTCAACCTTTTTAATGCCGGGACCCCCAACCGGTCGTAAGTCGAGGACTACTCAACCGGTCGTAAGTCGAGGACTACTCAACTGGTGCACCACCATTTGCAGAATGGGGCTTTTGGCGGGCTCAGCAGGGCAGAGACAGCCTGGACAATTCCTATTGGCTTTTGAAAGCCAATAGAATTAGACTCTATTCAAGAGAGTTTATTCTATTGGCTTTCAAAAGCCAATAGAATAAAAGGGAGTAGCACAGCTAAGGAAAAGGGGAAAAAAAATGGCAGACTGCATTGTTTGACTACCCCCATGAAATGGTCGTTCGACCCCAAATGGGGTCCCGACCCACAGGTTGAGAGCCACTGCAATAGAATAAAAGGGAGTAGCACAGCTAAGGAAAAGGGGACCACTGTACTAGAGGGAATAGAGAGGTCTTTATGAGTATGACTTTGTATTTGGACAATTGATTGCCCTGCCACTACAGTGATTCTTAAGCACTGGTTTGTAAAATGAAAAAACTAATAAAACTTGTTTTTTTTAAAAAAAGAAAGAAAAACAACTGAGGAAATGCATTCACCTCCTCCATCATACCACTATGAAGGACATATAGTTTTGCATATTTTCATTTCATCGGCATCTCTTCCTTTCTAGCTTTCGAACTAGATCTTGATAAAACACTACAAAAAAAGCAAATTCAATATGATCGGCCACCAGCATGAATATATGAGATTTGTTCTGTGTGGTATTTGGCCTGGTAGAGACACACCCATTTGTCTGGATTAGTACAGAGAAAAAAAAAACTTTGTAAGAAAAGAATAAGAAAAAAAATCTGCTCAAATGACGAATACAAAGATTTGAGATGCCTATATGTGCAGCAATACTCATGCATGCATGCAGATATGAGCTACAAAGATAATTAGGGGGCTAGAGGCTATAAAATATGAAGACCGGTTGTAGGAATTGGGTATGTCTAGTGTAGTGAAAAGAAAAACTAGGGCTGACATGAGAGGAGTGTTTCAATATCTCAGGGGTTGCCACAAAGAAGAAGGAGTCAGGCTCCTGAAGACAGAACAAGAAGCAATGGATGGAAAGTAACCAAGGAGAGAAACAACATAGAACTAAGGAGAAATTTCCTAACAGTGAGGACAATTAACCAGTGGAATGGCTTGTCTTCAGAAGTTATGGGTGCTCCAACACTGGAGGCTTTTAAGAAGAGATTGGACTGCCACTTGTCTGGAATGGCGTAGGGCAGTGATGGCAAACCTATGGCACGGGTGCCAGAGGCAGCACTCAGAGCCCTCTCTGTGGGCACACGCACCATTGCCCCATCCCCGCCTCCTCTCGCAGCCCCCTCCTCCCCAGCAGCCCCCCCGGGAGGAGTTTCGCCACTGGGCCTGGCCCGCCTGGAGTAGTGCAGCCAAGGACATGGCAGCCGGGCAGTGGGTACAAGACTCCGCCCTCACGCTCCATTGCACACAAATGATGCTGTGGGGTGCGGGCAGAGGGCGTGGCCGCCATGGCACTGCAGGCCTACCTGGGCGATCTGCGGCGGGCCATGGTGGTGGTGGGATGCCCTACGGTCAGGCAGGTGGAGCAGGGGGCGGAGCGGGGACAGGTGGGAGGGGCGGTTTTGGGGCACTCGGTCTCTAAAAGGTTCGCCATCACTGGCACAGGGTCTCCTGCTTGAGCAGTGGTTGGACTAGAAGACCTCCAAGGTCCCTTCTTATTCTGTTATGAACTCTCTTACACCATATGTGTATTGATAATATAAGGCAGTGGTTCTCAACCTGTGGGTCGGGACTCCATTTGGGGTCGAACGACCATTTCACAGGGGTCGCCAAACAACGCAGTCCGCCATTTTTTTCCCCTTTTCCTTAGCTGTGCTACTCCCTTTTATTCTATTGGCTTTTGAAAGCCAATACAATAGACTCTCTTGAATAGAGTCTAATTCTATAGAATAGACTCTCTTGAATAGAGTTTAATTCTATTGGCTTTCAAAAGCCAATGGGAATTGTCCAGGCTGTCTCTGCCCTGCTGAGCCCACCAAAAGTTCCATTCTACAAATGGTGCTGCACCAGTTGAGTAGTCCTCGACTTACGACCGGTTGAGTAGTCCTCGACTTACAACCGGTTGGGGGTCGCGGCATTAAAAAGGTTGAGAACCACTGATATAAGGGGAAAAACACAAAGTAAAATGAGGAATAATGGTTTTCTCCAACAAATGCATCCCATTTCATGAATGAATCTGCGAATCCAAAGGAAACTTTAATATTCCCCTACCTCTTTTGGAGCTTGGATCGTGATATATTGGTCAAAAATCTTTTTTGCACTATCCTGGAGTTTGTCACATCCTCGGAGTTTTCGATAATCTTCACAGGCCATCCAGAAGTCCAAGTTCTCTTCGCTGAATTCTGATTTCAAGAAAGCGTGGAAAGCAGCTCGACCATCTATAATGCGGAGATGAACAAACCAAAACGATTTATTGAAATCTTTCCTTCTTTTCTTTTTACGTAAAATCTGTAGAAATTCTGTTAATTCCACCTGGAATAAATTCTGCAGTTTATCGCATGGATTTTTTTTTTTCTACTTCAGGTTACCAAGCGATATTAGTGGATGTTTTAGGAAATGAGAAAATGTTAGTACAGATATTCCTTGACTTACAACAGTTTGTTTAGTAACTGTTCAAAGTTATAACAGAACTGAAAAAAATGACTTATGACCGTTTTTCACACTTATGACCCATGGTCACAAAATCAAAATTCAGACCTTGGCATCTGTCTCATATTTATGACGGTTGCAGTGTCCTGGATGATGTCATCCCCTTTTGCGACCTTCTCACAAAAAATCAGCGGGGAAGCCAATTTCACTTAACAACTGGGTTACTACCTTATCAACTGCAGTGATTCACTTAACAACTTTGGCAAGAAAGGCCATGAAATGGAGCAAAACTCACTTAACAAAATGTCTCACTTACCAAAAGCAACTTTGGGCTCAGTTGTGGTTGTAATAATAATAATAATAATAATAATAATAATAATAATAATAATAATAGTAGTAGTAGTAGTAGTAGTAGTAGTAGTAGTAGTAGTAGTAGTAGTAAAGTTGGAAGGGACCTTGGAGGTCATCTAGTCCAACCCCCTGCCCCGGCAGGAAATCCTACACCATTTCGGACAAATGGCTGTCCAGTCTCTTCTTAAAAACTTCCAGTGTTGGAGAATTTACAGCTTCTGGAGGCAGGTTGTTCCACTGATTAATTGCTCTCACTGTCTGGAAGTTTCTAATCCGAGTACTATTTGTAGACTTTTTTTTTTTAAAAAAAAATCTCTTGCCACGAAGACACAAACTTTTAAGAAATGAGCAGGGAAATTCCAGAAACAATAAATCCAGCTGAAATGTCCCTCTGAATTTTGAGAGGCTTCCTCCACTCTACCTTAGGGACAGGCAGAGCAGATTGCTATTTGAATGCCTGATTTCCTATCATTATTGAAAACTATGTATTGTTCTATGAACGATGAGCTCTTAAAAATCTGATTTGCAGATGCTGCCCTTAAATACCTAGCTAACACAGAGAGAATGATATTTAATAATGAGCCTCTTCATACAGATATTTACGCTCTAGTTTTTCCAATAAGGGTCATGGGTTTTTTTTGATTAGAGAGTACTTGTGTCATTGGGGATTGTGCTGTAGCTTCCAAAAAAGCCAACACAGTGCTAGGCTGCATTAACAGAGGGATAGAATCAAGATCACGTGAAGTATTAATACCACTTTACAATGCCTTGGTAAGGCCACACTTGGAATACTGCATCCAGTTTGGTCACCGCGATATAAAAAAGATGTTGAGACTGTAGAAAGAGTACAGAGAAGAGCAACAAAGATGATTAGGGGACTGGAGGCTAAAACAAGGAACGGCTGCTGGAATTGGGTATGTCTAGTTTAACGAAGAGAAGGACAAGGGGGGACATGATAGCAGTGTTCCAATATCTCAGGGGCCGCCACAAAGAAGAGGGAGTCAGGCTATTCTCCAAAGTGCCTGAAGGCAGGACAAGAAGCAACAGATGGAAACTGATCAAGGAGAGAAGCAACCTAGAACTAAGGAGAAATTTCCTGACAATTAGAACAATTGTTAACCAGTGGAACAACCTGCCTCCTGACAATTAGAACAATTAGTTAACCAGTGGAACAACCTGCCTCCAGAAGCGGTGAATGCTCCAACACTGGAAGTTTTTAAGAAGAAACTGGACAGTCATTTGTCCAAAATGGTATAGGGTTACCTGCCTGAGCAGGAGGTTGGACTAGATGACTTCCAAGGTCCCTTCCAACTTTATCATTATTATTATTAGTATTAGTATTATTATTATATTACAATTTTAAACCCACAGAAGAAGGAAAAAAATAAAATAAAACAAATCTATGAGGACAGCTATTAAGCTATACAATAGCTTTTGTCAACCTTACTGCAGGTAGTCCTCGAATTACGACCACAGCTGAGCCCAAGTTTGAAGATTCCTGTCCTAGATCATAGCCAAAACATGTCCCTGATCAAGAAAGTCATAACAGTATGTTTTACCGGTATGAACCAGAGCCCTAAATGATTTTATTTCCCTCTTCCAGACCCATCGTGATAGTCTGCAGATCCCTGAGAACTAAAGTTCACATCATGTCCAGATCTCACAAGAAGGCGTTCATAAAGCAACATGTCTGTTGGCCATCAGTCCTGTTCCTAGGAATATGGTGGTTACCAAATCTTGACCTAAAGAATATGCCAGGAGGGAATAGGGATGAATGTCCTATCAAACAAGCTACTTGATTGGAATTTGGCCACTCCAACTGCTTTCTGCTCTGTTGTAAACTAGACTGTTCCTCTACTAACGTCTCTCTCCATGTCCCACAGGACTTCTGAGAAAGCTGGATTCTGAGGAAAACAGGATTTAATTCATTTGGCAAGGACCGGACCATTTTTATGAAAAGGCCTTTTGTTTACATATTTGCCTATGCTCTCTACCGGTTGGAATTCTGGGAATCGGCATTAATGATTATTATTATTAAGCAGGCTGGGTTGGTGCCAAGAAACCATCTGGAATAAACAAAGGTTCTCAGGATGACTAACCCTCTAATTTTCAAACACCATTCTGTGAAAAAGACACCCAGAAATCTATAAACTGTGTGTCAAACAATCCCTTGAAAAGGTTGACGAGCCACTTGTGTAAACTTACATGGGTGTAGTAGCAGTTTTTCCAAAGATTCTGCCCATTCTTGGGCTTCCTCGGGAGTTGGCCTGAAGAGAGAACAAAAATGAGTGACTGAAAATTAAGATGATTAAAGCCCTGGAGACTAAAACCTATGAGGAACTGGGCATGGCCAGTCTAGAGAAAAGAAGGACTAGGGGGAACATGATAGCAGTATTTGAGGGGCTGCCACAAAGGAGAAAGGGGCCAGCTTATTTCCCAAAGCACCAGACAGCAAGGCAAGAAACAATTAATGGAAACTAATCAAGGAGAGAAGCAACCTGGAATTAAGGAGAAACTTCCTAACAGTGAGAATAATTAACCAGTAGAACAACGTGCCTTCAGGAGTTGTAGGTGCTTCATCACTGGAGAGTTTAAAGAAAAGACTGGACAGCCACTGTCTGAAATGGTGTGAGGATTAGGGTTAGGGTTAGGGTTAGGGTGTTGGTCTAGAACAGTGGTTCTCAACCTTTTTAATGCCGCGACCCCCAACCAGTCGTAAGTCGAGGACTACTCAACTGGTGCAGCACCGTTTGCAGAATGGGACTTTTGGCGGGCTCAGCAGGGCAGAGACAGCCCGGACAATTCCTATTGGCTTTTGAAAGCCAATAGAATTAGACTCTATTCAAGAGAGTCTGTTCTATTGGCTTTCAAAAGCCAATAGAATAAAAGGGAGTAGCACAGCTAAGGAAAAGGGGGGACAAATGGTGGACTGCGTTGTTTGGCGACCCCCATGAAATGGTCGTTTGACCCCAAATGGGGTCCCGACCCACAGGTTGAGAACCACTGGTCCATTCTAGCTCTATTCTGATTGATTGGAACTGGAAATCAGATGTGACAGATGAGAGGTCTTTGCCCAAAGAACGTTAGTAAGAGTTATCTTATTAGTCTGTGCTGCAAATAATGTAAGAATAACATGGAGTTATTCTTTCAGGAATGTTATGTGAAGACCTAGCTCTCTGGAGAAGGCTCTAACGCTGGGAAAGGTAAAAGGAAAGAGAAGAAGAGGATCAGCAACAAGCTGGTTGGGCTAAATTACACTAGCAATGAGGCCACTGTTGGAAGACCAGCTTAGAGACAAATCTCGAAAAATAAGAATAACAAGAGTTGGAAGGGATCTTGGAGGTCTTCTAGTCCAACCCCCTGCTCAAGCAGGAAACCCTCTGTAACATTCCAGACAAGTGGCTGTCCAGTCTCTTCTTAAAAGCCTCCAGTGAGGCTTCTTAAAAGCCTCCAACTTCGGAAGGCAAACTGTTCCACTGGTTGATTGTACTCACTCTCAGGAAATTTCTCCTTAGTTCTAGAGTGCTTCTTTCCTTAATTAATTTCCATCCATTGCCTTTTGTTTTACCTTCTGGTGCTTTAGAAAATTGCACCAGAAAACAGCATCTTCATCGATTAAATCACTATCTACTATATGTGGGCACTAAGAGTCATCACAGACTTGATGGCATAATCAATTAATCTCATTCCGTGGATTGGCAAGGGTGTCCAATTCCCAGTAGTTTAATTGCATCAACAAAAATGTAGCATTTTGCACTGACTGCTCAAAACGGCAACTGTCTTCCTTCAGTTTCAGGATCAAGCCCCAAAGGTGTTTTATCAAAAGGCAACTGGACTTTTGTGGGGGGGAGGTTTCCTTGAAAACATTTCACTTCTCATTCAAGAGGCTTCTTCATAACCAAAGAAGTTTCATAACTGAAGAAGCTTCTCGCATGAAAAACGAAACTCTTTTCAAGGAAAAAAAATAAACCAAGAAAGTTCAGTTGCCTTTTGATAAAGCATCTTTGGGACAACCATGACTTGTTTGACTGAAAATCTCCATAGACATTCGGGAACAAGTGTTCCTGCAGGTTGTTTTTACCCATATGAAGAAAAGTTCCATTCACAATCAAAGCAGGTCAATGAAATTCTCTTCCAAGTCATTCACCTCCATCAGAAGGATTGCATTTCTTATAGCTTCATGCCAGCAAGTTCTTACAGCATCTTTCTGGACAGACATTGGTCTGAAATGGTATGGAGGGTTGGACTAGAAGACCTCCAAGGTTCTATTCTATTCTATTCTATTCTATTCTATTCTATTCTATTCTATTCTATTCTATTCTATTCTATTCTATTCTATTCTATTCTATTCTATTCTACTCTACTCTACTCTACTCTACTCCACAGTATTCTTATTCTATTCTTATTCTACTCTACTCTACTCTACTCTACTCTACTCTACTCTACTCTACTCTACTCTACTCTACTCTACTCTACTCTACTCTACTCTACTCTACTCTACCCTACTCTACCCTACCCTACCCTACCCTACCCTATATCTTTTCCTTCTCCTTTTTCCTCTTAGTTGGCTGTTGAGTCTGCAGAGCTTTTGATTTCACTTTCTATGGCTGAAAGACTTCATGCTTCGGCCACAATAACTTAATCATCCACTCCACAGGTCTTCTTGGGGCCCTATCTGATTCTTCTGCAGCCAAACATCCAGATTATTCTTGACATCAAGAGGGGCGATTCAAGGATCAGGTGCAGCCCAGCAGTTGTCTTTTTTGCAGCCCTCGAGACTTCCAAACCAGAAAATCGATTGCAAACTTTGTGAAAAGCAATAGAATAATTTCTGGTCAATCCTCTCCAAACAGGAAAATCAAGTAGAATGCTATTACTGTCCCCTCTAGTGATGCCATTAATTCACTGTCCTGTTTCTACCCCATACAGCCCTTAGTAATAAAGAGAAATTGTTTCAAATTTGCAGGCTTCTGGATACAATAAGTTGCCGGTTCTTCTTTGCAGCCTTCAGATTCACTGTGAATCTGGTGCTGCGAGGCTTCCCTCTGCTCACCTGTGGCTGTGGATGATGGGGAGTTTTAGTCCCACAATCTGGATGCTTAATAAAGTGGAGAGGGCTGACAGAGACAGTACTTATCTTGGACTTGCCTCTAAGACGAGATCCATTCAGGAAACCATCTGTAGCTCTAAAAGCACATTCAGGTTCCTTCAACATAGTGGACATTCAAATCAGGTAATAAAATTACAGTAAATGTAGACCCATTAGAGTTCTAATGTTGCAAGCTCGCATACCCTATCTAGGTCTCTAGGGTACTCTCTTTCTCTCCATCTATCTGTTTATCATCGTAAGGGCTTCCAATTTGCTGCCCTGAGGCTCTATGAGCTCTTGGCTTTCTTTCAACAGCACTCTGCAAGGAATCTAGCTCGGGACAAAAAACAATTTCTCCTAGCCCCTCCTGTTCCTGGATATAAATAAAAGGAGACAGATGGATGTCTCCTCATTCATGGGAAGTCAGATTCTTCTGAAAAAAAAACCATGAACATTTGATTTGGTGTCCTATCAACAGACTGGAGTGTATTTCCAAAATACATTTAACTACACTTAATTTAACTCAGCTCGTTAACCACTTAGTGATTGCATGCATACAAGTTTGCAAAGTTTTAATCTTTGGGTCGTTGTTTACGAGTGAGTTGTATGCAGGCAGCCCCTCTCGTTCGTTCAATGTACTTGCATGGTGCGAATTGTGGGGTTCTGCACTTTGCGAGAACGTAACCACTATCTTGTTCAGTGGGCAGACGATGGAGCCCTCTCTTCCTTGGGAAGAAATGGGAGCTGAACCAAGGGAGCCCTGCATGACAGGAAGACGGGAGCTTTAATTTAGTAAGTCGCGGCCAATGACTAGCAAAGTAGTTTTGGCTTTGAAAAGTGTAGCAGTGGAAGGTATTTGAGTAGTGGTGAGCAGTGCGTCTACTGCAGCGGCCCCCAACCTTTTGGCCATGAGGAACTGATTCCGTGGAGAGAGATTTTTCCGTGGACCGGAAGAGGGTGTGGTTTTGTGTGATGCCTACATTCCGTGGATGGGGCTTTGTTTCGGTTTCTGGCATGTTGCGGACCGGGAGTTGGTTACCCCCTGATCTTATGTTTCTGGAAAGCCCTTGGTCTGGGGTCATAGAGACAGTTGACTACAGATAGTCCTCAATTCATAATAATTCGTTTAATGAACATTCAAAGTTATAACGGCACTGAAAAAAAGTGGCTTACAATCCTTCTTCATACTTAACAACCGCTGCAGCATCCCCATGGTCACGTGATCCAAATTTGGATGCTTGGCAATTGGCTCATAGTTATGACAGCTGCAGGCATTCCGGGGGTCACATGATCCCCTTTTGTGACCTTCTGACAAGCAAACCCAATGGGGAAGCCAGGTTCACTTCACAAACCGTGTTACTAACTTAACAACTGCAGTGATTCACTTAACAGCTGTGGCAAGAAAGGTTGTAAAATGGGGGCAAAACTTAACAACTGTCTCGCTTAGCAGTGGGAATTTGGGGCCCAAGTGTAGTCATAAGTCAAGGACTACCTATATAACTACAGTCTCTTGGCACCGATGTCAGCCTTTTCAGAAACTTAAAAGGTCTCTGACATAGTTATCTGTCAACGCTGCAAATATTGTATATTCTTGCTTTTGACAATATGCAGAATTGTCTGGTAAATATGGGGTTAATAAAGAGCAGACGGGGTGTTGGGGGTAAAGCCCGGGAAAGAAAACATTTGACCTTCACCCTAATTGGATAGTGTGAGATATGAGGGCTAATTTAGGGAGGGAACATGCTGATAATTTAACTGCTCAGAGGAAGAGAACTTAGATCCTAGCATCCCTCCATTGTGCCTGTGCCGACATTTTGTAACAATAAAAGTCTTTTAGGAAAATAAATGCCTGGAAGTTCTTTGGAATGTTTCATTAGCTGGAACCACAACAGTTATCTCTATGGAGTTGCACGCATTGCAGCTTGTCCCAACTACCATCTCTTGGCTCCCATTCCCAGCTGAGAAATCTGGTTCAAAGTGAGGTTACCTTAGTGACTGGAGGTCCTGATTTCCTGAGCTCCACAACCTTAGGAAATTTTTTTTGTTCTTCTTTCTAAGAAACAGAAATGAAAGATGGGGAATCAGGGACACACACAGTCAAACTGCACGCTAATTCAGGCATGAAAGTTAAGTGATGGGGGAAGCTAGGGAGATGGATGTGAAGCATGGCCAGTTGGACAAAGGGCCCCCAAGCTTAGCTTTAGCTGCTACCCCAATCTATCACCATTGAAAGAGATGCAAAGAGATGCTTTTGAAAAGGCAACTGGATTTTCTTGGATTTTTTTCCCCCTTACTAAGGAAACATACAATGTTTTGCTTTTCATCCAAGAAGCTTCTTCACTTCTTAGATAAGAAGGGGGGGGGGGACAAGAAAGTCCAGTTGCCTTTTCAAAAGTACCTTTGGGATAACCCAATTATCTATCACAGTGGTTCTCAACCTTTTTAATGCCGCGACCCCCAACCGGTCGTAAGTCGAGGACTAAACCGGTCGTAAGTTGAGGACCAAATCAGTTGTAAGTTGAGGACTACCCAACCGGTCGTAGGTCGAGGACTTTCCCTGCCCAGGAGCACCACGCATGTGTGGTGCCGCCCCCTGCGCCGGCCGAGGCGTAGCTGGCAAGTGGCAGAGATGGAGCAGGCCGACCACCAGCTGGCCCAGCCCAAGGGAGGTAAGGCACCCGCCAGAAAAGGGGAAACAAATGGCGGACAGCCTTGCTTGGCGACCCCCATGAAATGGTTGATCGACCCCAAATGGGGTCGCGACCCATAGGTTGAGAACCGCTGATCTATCAGGTGTGGGGAACTATGGCCCTTTTATGACTTGTGGACTTCAAGTCCCAGAATTCCTCAGCCAGCTATGCTGCCTCAGGAATTCTGGGACTTGAAGTTCACAAGTCACAAAGGGGTCATAATTCCCCTCCTTCTGATCTAGATGATTGACAATTTTCATCCCTGTGATCATCAGCCATTCAGTCATGTCCCACCCTTCCTATTCTCCATAACCATTAAAAAAGACTTACACGTTTGCATATTAACCCTTAGTTGTTCCTCATAGATGAAGAGAATGGCATTTCCTATCTGTAAAATGTTATTATCCTAGTCGTTATTGACTTAATAATTTATCTACTTCCTCTTTGTTAGAAGGCACTAAGATGATAACCCGAATTACATTTATTTGTCCAAGGGTTTGATTTATATACCATTTATCTACTCCTAGAGCACACAAGGGCAAGTACAGAGCTTTTATGTATCCAAAGTGCCTTGGTTTTGTTTTCCTAAAGCAACTTAAGATATGTAGAGTTTGTACATCAATATCCAGGATCACAGGTCAGATTGGAAAAGCCCAAACACATACATCTAATAGCTCCACATTGTTGCCATAGTTCTTTTTTAAAGCATCGGAAGCAGTGAAAGATTAAGAACAAAGAAAAATCTCCACACAGAGCTGTAGATGCATGTCTGCAGTATATACAGGTGTACACATAATTTTCTGTTTTTTAAAAGCAGAATGAGAGGAATTAGGCTTTTCTTAGCAGTGGGGAATGGTGCTTCTATGGTGGACTGAAACCATCGTTCTGTTGCAGTCTCAAATAAAGTATTGTATGGTGAAATGAATCATCTGAGATATCTCCTATATCAGGAAGATTAATATTAGATATTCCAGCGCTATTAGGAGACTGAGAGATAAACACTCATTTATCAATCTGAAGGAAAATCTGCACCGGAGGTCATTCACAGCCATAGGAAATGAGATATATTTATATTATCTTTTTTTTCCCCAAAAAAACATTCAAACTTCTTCATCTAGATCAGCCTTTCCTAAACTGGTGAATTCCAGGTTATTTGAACCATAATCCCGTTTCTACCACATTGACTGGTATTTTCAACCTGGTTGGAGGAGGTTTTTTTCACCCAGGTTTACAATGGGGTATAACTTGGCCAGAATTGATGATTTCTGTTTTACAGATACAGAATTTACAACTTCGAGGCTCAAAGAGAAGAGGTGTAGCAGTTATCTATAGATATTTACCAGGTTAGAAGCTGGGAGACTGGGAGTTCTAGCCCTAGGCTTTGGCACAAAGCCAGTTGGGTGACCTTGAGCCAGTCCCTCTCTGTAAGTCAGTGTTTCTCAACCTTGACCATTTTAAGGCATGTGGACTTCAATTCCCAGAATTCCACAGCCAGCGTTGCTGGCTGTGGAATTCTGGGAGTTGAAGTCCACATGCCTTAAAATGGCCAAGGTTGAGAAACACTGCTCTAAGTCCTAGGAAGAGAGCAAGGGCAAACTAATTTTGAAATTTTGCCAAGAAAATTGCAGGGATTTTTCCAGGTAGTTGCGAGAAGTGGTAAAAAAAAAAAAACCTTGAAGGTGCACATGTGTGGGCAGAGAGAGAGAGAGAGAGAGAGAGAGAGAGAGAGAGAGAGAGAGAGATAGTGTAGGTTACTCAACATGCCCAGGAAGAAGGCATAGTTTTAAAGGGCTATTTTGAGATATATAGCTTGAAACCCAGCAATTAATGCTCCACTGACACTCACCGGGGATGTTTTTGCTTCTGCTGTGTGTTCTGATGGCTGCCATCGCAGTCTGACCCTACGTCTGATTCCACACTGGAGGCCAGTGACTGAAACACAAAAAAGCAAGATTTGAGCCTAAAGGGCATCTCTCAGCCAACACCAAAGGCTGCCGCATCCAGGCTGCAGATATCCGGATGACCAATAGGTGGGAACAGAAATTGAGTTTCTATATCTTGTTACTGCCCTCTAGTGGCCATGCAGATCAGAATCAGAATAGAGCTGGAAGGGACCTTGGAGGTCATCTAGTCCAGGGCTTTTCAACCTTTTCACCCCTTGTACCACTTTTAGGATATGGCAACATCCAAGTACCACCCGTCGCCTAGCAAGGTGTCAAAAACTTGATGACCCAAAAAAAAAGAAAAACCAGGAAAAAAGTGATAAAGTACAGGTAGTCCTCGACTTACAACAGTTCGCTTAGTGACGTTCGAAGTTACAATGGCACTGAAAAAAGTGCCCAAGCCACAGCCGAGCAAGACACCTGCCTGCCCGCCCGGCCACGATCTTCCTCCTGTCCGAGGTTTTCATTGTTGTGAGCTTTTCTGTTGAGGATTGGCAGCGGGGGTGGGGTGGGGGAATTTGATTTTTATCCCCCCCCCATCTGCTGGGTGGTTGCAGCAGGTTTTGGTCACTTCACATGACCCTGGGACACTGTGACCGTTATAAATATGAATCAGTTGCCAAGCATCTGAATGTAAATCACAAGACCCTGGAGATGCTGCAACATTCCAGCTGATCGGCGCTTCTTCTGGGCTCAGCAGAAGCGCCAGGATCAGCACCGAGCTCCAGCTGGAGCCTGGCATTGATCCTGGCGCTTCCGCTGAGCCCTGACAGCCCTGCAGCTCCAGCCGTCTCTCACTCAGGTTTGTGCGGTGCTGCCACCAGTTCAGCCCATTCCCCTCCCCTGCTATCACTTTTCTAGGATGGTCGCGTACCACCTGCCAGGTGCCAATGTACCACAGGTGGTACCCGTACCACTGGTTGAAAAGTCCTGTTCTAGTCTAATCCCTTGCTCAAGCAGGAGATCCTATACCATTTCAGGGAAGTGACTGTCCAGTCTCTTCTTAAAAACTTCCAGTGATGAAGTACCTACAACGTCCGAAGGCATGCAGTTCCACTGGTTAATTGTCCTTACTGTTAGGAAGTTTCTCATTAATTCCAGGTTGCTTCTCTTTTTGATTAGTTTCCATCCATTGTTTCTTGTCCTGCCCTCTGGTTCTTTGGAAAATAAACTGACCCCCTCCTCTTTGTGGTAGCCCCTCAAATACTGGAATACTGCTATCATGTCACCCTAGTCCTTCTTTTCTCTAGACTAGCCAAACCCAAGTCCTGCAGCCGTTCTTCATATGTTTTAGTCTCCAGGCGCTTTAATCATCTTAGTTGCTCTTTGTACTTTTTCCAAAGTCTCAACATCTTTTCGTAATGTGACCAAAACTAGATGCAGCATTCCAGGTGTGGTCTTACTAAGGCTTTATAAAGCGGTACTAATACTTCACATGATTTTAATTCTACACCTCTGTTTATACAACCAAGGATTGTATTAGCTTTTTTGGCTGCTGCAGCACACTGCTAACTCATATTTAAGTGATCGTCCACTAGGACTCCAGGGTCCCTCTCACAGTTACTGTTTTTGAGCCAGGTTTTGCCTAATCTGTACTTGTACCTTTGGTTTTTCCTGACCAGGTGTAAAGCCTTGCTTTTCTCCACATTAAATTTCGTTTTGTTGGATAGGGCCCATTGTTCAAGTCTATCAAAATCTTTTGGGATCCTGAGCTTGTCTTCTGGGGTGTTGGCTATTCCTGCCAGCTTAGTGTCATCTGCAAATTTGATGAGTTCCCCTTCTATTACCTCATCTAAGTCATTTATGAAGATATTGAAGAGTACTGGGCCTAAGACGGAACCTTGTGGTACCCCACTGCTTACTTCCCTCCACGTAGATGTAGTACCATTAAGGACTATTCGTTGAGTACAGTTTGTCAGCCAGTTACAAATCCATCTGGTGGTGATGCTGTCTGTCCCACATTTTTCTAGCTTTCCAAGAAGTAGATTGTGATCTACTTTGTCAAATGCCTTGCTGAACTCTAGTTGCCTACAGTCCAGATCTGCTAGCCTAAGATACCAATCTCAGACAGCTCCAAGGCACCTGCTGAAGTGACTGATTTAGGAAGACCCAAACTGAGGGCATCTGTAAAATGACACCATCTTTAGGGTTTCCCAAGTCTTTAGAGCAGTGGTTTTCAACCTGTGGGTCGGGACCCCATTTGGGGTCAAATGACCATTTCACGGGGATCGCCAAACAACGCAGTCCGCCATTTTTTCCCCTTTTCCTTAGCTGTGATACTCCCTTTTATTCTATTGACTTTTGAAAGCCAATAGAATAGACTCTCTTGAATAGAGTCTAATTCTATTGGCTTTCAAAAGCCAATAGGAATTGTCTAGGCTGTCTCTGCCCTGCTGAGCCCATCAAAAGTCCCATTCTGGAAATGGTGCTGCAAGTTGTCTGCAGAGAAGGTGAGCTGTCTGGAAGTTTCCACCCCTCCCTGCTGAGCAACTACTAAAAATGTAAGTAAAAGAGGGCCAGGGGTGAGAGGTGGGAGGCCGGCGGGCGCAGGAGGGTTGCTGGCGCACATAGGGCCCGGCGGGTGCCTTACTTCCCTTGGGCTGGGCCAGCTGGTGGCCCAGCCAGTGGTCGCCCTGCGCCGTCGCTGCCCCTTGCCAGCTACGCCTCAGCCGGCGCAGGGGGCAGCATCACGCATGCACGGCTCTCCCTGACAGGGAAAGTCCTCGACTTATGACCGGTTGGGTAGTCCTCGACTTACGACCGGTTGGGTAGTCCTCGACTTACGACCGATTGGGGTCACGGCATTAAAAAGGTTGAGAACCACTGCTTTAGAGGAAAGTGGCTCTTTGCAATAACTCAGGGAAAGCAAATACTTTCTCCTTCCCCGTTCCTTTTCTTCCTTTTATGTCAGTGTTTTTGTTAAATACTCAGTCTAATAGCAGGATCTGTGTCTCTTTATTTATCTTTACTTATCTAGCTGAAGCGCAGGACATGCTTGCTTTAAATAAATAAATACTTAAAAGAGATAGCCACAGTACTACTCAATTAATAATAAACCAAGTGGGCTGCCAGGGATAAACTTCAGGTTTGTTCAGTTTTTCCAGACCTTGAAAATCCACAAAGTGGGCTCAGAATAATGGCTGTCCAAGGACAAAGCCAGCTCAAGGACAGAGAAAAATCACATGCCTCCCTGCAACCCTATACAGACCTATTGAAATGAAATGCTTTCAAAAGACCAATTGAAAATTCTCTCTAATCAGAGTTTAGAGCAGTGTTTCTCAACCTTGGACCCTTGATGATCTATGGACTTCAGTTCCCAGAATTCCTCAGCCAGCCATGACCTCCTCAAAAGTTACTTGCAACCTGATTTCTGAGCTACAATGGTGGCACACACACCACCTTGCAGTCATGTGATCACATTTTGGATTCTAGGCAACCAGTTCACCTTTGTGGCTGTTTGCAGCATCCAGCAGTCACATGACCATGGTTTTCAATGTGGGGTTTTTTTGCCAGTTTCCGGCATTTACTTCTGATTTCCAGCAAAAAAAAAAAAAAGTGACCATTGGGTAAAATGAATTCAGATAATAACCGCGGTATTTGCTTAATAATTGCCACAAAAATAAAAGTCATAAAATCTGGTCACATGGTGACTCATTTAATGGCCACAACTTAGAACCGTGATTCCTGGCTCAACTACAATTGTAAGTTGAGGATTACCTATACTGGGAAATCAAACATATTTGCTCATCTACTAAAATCATACAAAGAAGTAGGCATTAATATCTGGCTGATCTCCATATGAAAATTCCTTGTAGATGAGATTCTCTTTCAAATGTTCTGAACAAGAGCTCTTTCAGCAGTTTACCAAAATGTGTATATGTTCAAAATTTGCAATTAGTGCTCATTTGTGATAATTCACCAGTGGGCTTTCCCTGAAACTTACTGAGGATCACGTGACTTATAAGCTTTTGACAGCCCTAAATTTCTTGGGGTCTTGAAACTTTCCTTATGTTTTATTCCAGAACAGAGATGGGCAACTTGAAGTCTCAGATCTGCAGGCAGCCTCTGAACATACTTTTTATCAAAGTGGCTGAAAACTGATTGCATCATTTCCTGCCACTATCAGGTGAGAAATATGAGCCTTAACTTTTAAACATCTATTAGCTGAGGGAATAAAGAGCATAGAAAAATCTTTTCCCCTTGCCCCAAAATCTTCCCTGAGAAAAAACCTATCCCCACCAACTTTTTTTCATGCATCTGATGCATTAGTTTTCAGAACACCACAGAAATCAAACAATCTCAGTCTTGCTGGGGGGGGGGGACACAGAAATTTGTGCCATTCCATTCAAGCAGAAATGTGAGCTACTGCACTCTTCTGTTCTTCCAAACTCTTTAGAGAAACTCAGCTTTCTAAGTCTTGCGTAAGAGTCCCACCTTGGATCGAGGTTTTGCAGATGAAAATAAAAGCAATATTACAACACTTTACCTTTTGACAAGAAATCGTGACCAACAGACCAACTTAAAGAAAAAGATAGCAATGTTCCGATATTTGATATTTGAGAAAAGGGGGTTAACCTATTTATCAAAGCACCAGAAGGCAAGACAAGAAGCAATGGATGGAAACTAACCAAGAAAACAGGCAATCTAGAACAGCGGTTCTCAACTTGTGGGTCGGGACCCCATTTGGGGTCGAACAACCATTTCACGGGGGTCACCAAACAACACAGTCCGCCATTTTTTCCCCCTTTTCCTTAGCTGTGCTACTCCCCTTTATTCTATTGGCTTTTGAAAGCCAATAGAACAGACTCTCTTGAATAGAGTCTAATTCTATTGGCTTTCAAAAGCCAATAGGAATTGTCCAGGCTGTCTCTGCCCTGCTGAGCCCGCCAAAAGTCCCATTCTGCCAACGGTGCTGCACCAGTTGAGTAGTCCTCGACTTACGACCGGTTGAGTAGTCCTCGACTTACGACCGGTTGGGGGTCGCGGCATTAAAAAGGTTGAGAACCACTGATCTAGAACTAACGAGAAACTTCCTGACAGTGAGAACAATTAACCAGTGGAACAGCTTGCCTTCAGAAGTTGTGGGTGCTCCATCACTGGAAGCTTTTTTTAAAAAAGACTGGACAGCCATTTGTCTGAAATGGTAAAGGGCAGGGGTCCCCAACCCCCAGTCCATGGACTGAACACTGGGCCGTGGCATGCCAGAAACCAGGCTGCACAAAGAAGCAACGCTCCATCCGCAGGATGCAGGCAGTACATGAAACCATGCTCCCTCCGGTCCGCAAAAAAATCTCTCTCCATGGAACCGGTCCCTGGTGCTCAATAAATTGGGGACCTCTGGTATAGGGTCTCCTACTGACCAGGAGGTTGGACTAGAAGACCTCCAAGATCCCTTCCAACTCTATTCTGTTATTCTCCAATTGGGAACTTACTTTATAGAAAAATGGCTCAACCTTTTCCTTAGACTGGCCGGATAATTAAGGAACCCATTTGGATCGTGGTTTCATTCTCAGTTATGGGCTGTGTTATGAGTGGCTTAGGTCTACTCTGAGTAAGATTGAAGCATCCTGTCTTTTATTCTTGCAGTTATGGGAAAATACTATTTGAATACCAATCTGGCAAGACACTGGCTTAAGCTAGCAACAGTGATAGAAAGGAACTGTTTTGCTTCACAAAGGACTGGCCACTGTAGCCATACATCAAACGCCACTACAAAGTGGGGCAGAGAACCACAGAGTCCCAAGGGCAGAGAGGCTCCTCTACCTAGGTGATCTTCCCAGCTTGAAAACAATGACTTTCAATTAGATGGTTTTCATTTGGGACCTGAAAGCTCAAAGCTCTGCATGACAGGAAATTATGCAAGTTGAAATCCAATTGTTTTTTTTTTTCCTTTCTTTGCTCTGAGGACCACACCTGTTTTTCCTTTAGACAATGTTTTTTTTCCATTGGCATCTCCTGGGGTGAGTGTTTTCAGGAAGGCAGAATTGAAGTCTCATCCCTTTTGTAATGCATTAATATTGCATACATGTACAAAGGCACGGCTGTGATATGGCTGCCGTGACCACCATCTTGCTTTTTTTTGACCCCCCCCTCTCCACAATTGGATGGCAGTGGCTACTTCCCACTGAGCTCTCTACCTTGTGTCTCTAAAGAGACTCTGTTTGGGGATACATTTGGAATTGTGACATGCCATGAGCATCTCACAAACTCATCACATCGTTGCCAGTGACCAGATGGATACGGCTGGCACCCAAAGACACAATTTGCCTGAAAATACACTGTGAAATTGTTTACTGCCACCTTCAACATTTCTGGAATGCCTTCTGCAACCTCAAGTTACCTCTGTATCTTTTCTAGATCCTTGGTGCTCCCCGAGCTTGGTTGTTTTCTTGCTGACGTTTCATTACCCAACTAGGTAACATCATCAGTGCTAGCCTAGGACCCCCACACTTCAACCCTGAATTACAAATATCCTTTATTGGTTCCACATATGGGCATCAAACGCTTCAGAAAGCACGCAAATGGGAACACTAGCACTGACGATGTTACCTAATTTGGGTAACACTAGCACTGACGATGTTACCTAATTTGGGTAACACTAGCACTGACGATGTTACCTAATTTGGGCAAGAAAACAACCAAGTTCAGGGAGAAGCAAGGACCCTTCATTTCAACCCTGAGCTACAAATATTCTCCTTTACAATGCCTTTCAATGCCTTGGTAAGGCCACACGTGGAATACTGCATCCAGTTTTGGTCACCACGATGTAAAAAAGATGTTGAGACTCTAGAAAGAGTACAGAGAAGAGCAACAAAGATGATTAGGGGACTGGAGGCTAAAGCATATAAGGAATGGTTGCTGGAATTGGATATGTCTAGTTTAACGAAGAGAAGGATGAGGTTTCTCATGATAGCAGTGTTCCAATATCTCAGGGGCTGCCACAAAGAAGAGGGAGTCAAGCTATTTTCCAAAGCACCTGAAGGCAGGACAAGAAGCAACGGATGGAAACCAAACAAGGAAAGAAGCAACCTAAAACTAAGGAGAAACTTCCTGACAGAACAATTAACCAGTGGAACAACCTGCCTCCAGAAGCGGTGAATGCTCCAATACTGCAAGTTTTTAAAAAGAAACTGGACAGCCACTTGTCTGAAATGGTATAGGGTTTCCTGCCTGAACAGGGGGTTGGACTAGATGACCTCCAAGGTCCCTTCCAACTTTATCATTATTATTATTATTTATTGATACCTATGCGACACCCTAGAATCCAGCAAATTTTCTTGGCTATGAATGCTTGAGGGACACGGTCATTTTGGCTAATGAAAACGCTGTTGGAGGAGAACTCTTTGTTCTGCGGCATGTCAGCTTCTTGTTTAATTAAAAAAAAAAACTAAAACATTGCTTTGAAAAAAAATATCAGGTGGGGGAAGGGAGTTTGGAGAATGGCAAGAGAAGGCTTCTCGGTCTCTCTGAGTGATTCACTGGCCTCTGTGGGGAACCCAACAAACCACTCAGTATCCCAGGCCCCCGACCATAACCTTTCCTTGATCATTAATTATGAGCTATGTAATCTTAATGGGATACATTGTTCACAGCAGCAAATTCCAGAGATTCAAACCAATGGGAATAAAGACACTCAGATGTTTAGACTACAAGCAAACTAAAATAAAAATAAAAATGGAGAGGCAAATAAAAAAAGGTCTAGGCTTGCATTTCTGGGGGAGAGGAGGAGGAGGACGAGGAGGAGGAGGAGGAGGAAGAAAGCATTGGTAAGGTGCTCAGTAAGAAATCAAGAAGTTCCACTGACTTTATTTGATCCTCCAAAGAAATTCCTCAGGTGTTGCTTTGCTGCTGTCAATTTCTCGCCCAGTTGTCGCTCTTTCCTCAAAGATTTGGGGGACGGCAAGCTCCACCCACTTCCTGTTTTGTTCCCTTCCTCAGTTCCCCTTTGGCATGGTGCCCCTTGTTGATCCAAACGTCCTTCACTTCGAGAGCGCCAGAACCCTCCCGGATCTTGAAGAGGGAGCTGAAGACAGTTGATCACCTCGGTGTCATCTAAGCGAATGCTTGGGGTGGAAGGTTTCTCCTGCTTTTCACAGTCGTTCCTCAACTCCGGATCCTCACAGCTCTGGTCCTGCTTCCGAAGGGTGCTCCGTTGCCATGGCAGGAAGTCACAATCGACGAGGCAACCTTCAGAGCCGCACTTCTGGAGAGGGCTCAACATCTAGATGGAGGAGAACAAAATTTTAGTACCGTGCCTATTCCTTGGAGGTACTTGACCATCCACCAAGACAGAACAACAGAATGACAGAATTGGAAGAGACCTTAGAGCTCTTCTAGTCCAACCCCTGCTCCAGCAGCAGACTCTATGCCAGTGGTTCTCAACCTGTGGGTCGGGACCCCATTTGGGGTCGAACGACCATTTCATGGGGGTCGCCAAACCATGCTGTCCGCCATTTTGTTCCCTTTTCCCTAGCTGTCCTACTCCCTCTTATTGGTGGCCACACCCACTTGGGGGTCACCACAACATGGGGAACTGTATTATGGGGTCACGGCATTAGAAAGGTTGAGAACCACTGCTCTATGCCATTTTTGACAAATGATTGTCCAGTCCCTTCTTAAAGGCTCCAGTGTTTGAGCACCCACAATTTCTGGAGGCAAGTTGTTCCACTGTTCCATTGCTCTAATTGTCAGGAAATTTCTCCTTAGTTCTAGGTTGCTTTTCTCCTTGATTAGTTTCCATCCATTGCTTCTTGTTCTGCCTTCTGGTACTTTGGAGAATAGATTGACCCCCCCCCCCTTCTGCTTTGTGGTAGCCCCTGAGAAATTGGAACACTGCTGTCGTGTGTCCCCCCCCCCCAGTCCTAGTGGAGATATTCCTCTTGAGACTGTCACATTGGCTCATGATTCACCAAATAAGAATCCAGAACAGCCATTCCTCATATTAGTGCCTCGGTTATGGAACTCCCTGTTGGTTTATTTGTGGCTGGCACTGAGCCTCAAAAGCTTCCAGCACTTGCTAATGACATATCTGTTTACCCAGATCCTTGATATTGGCTTGTTTTTATCAGGCCGTGTCCCTGCTTGCACTTAATCATGACACAAACACTCCCTGTTTGTAATATCACTATTCTGCCTTTGGCTGTTCACCTTTTCTTTGATTCACTAAGGAGACAGCCTAAAGCAGTGGTTCTCAATCTGTGGGTCAGGACCCCATTTGGGGTCGAACGACCATTTCACAGGGGTCGTCAAACAACGCAGTCCGCCATTTTTTTCCCCTTTTCCTTAGCTGTGCTACTCCCTTTTATTCTATTGGCTTTTGAAAGCCAATAGAATAGACTCTCTTGAATAGAGTCTAATTCTATTGGCTTTCAAAAGCCAATAGGAATTGTCCAGCTGTCTCTGCCCTGCTGAGCCCACCAAAAGTCCCATTCTGCAAACGGTGCTGCACCAGTTGAGTAGTCCTCGACTTACGACCGGTTGAGTAGTCCTCACGACCGGTTGGGGGTCGCAGCATTAAAAAGGTTGAGAACCACTGGCCTAAAGATTTCCTTACCTGTAGGGGGTGCCAAAGTGGTAACAGGTAGTCCTTGACTTAAGACCAAAACTGAGCCCAAAATGAGTTTTGCTCCAGTTTATGACTTTTCTTGCCACAGTTGTTAAGTGAATCCCTGCAGTTGTTAAATTAGTAACATGGTTGTTAAATGAATCTGGCTTCCCCATTGACCTTGCTTGCCAGCAGGTCGCAAAAGCGGATCACACGATCCCGGGACACTGCAACCGTCCTAAATAGGAGTCAGTTGCCAATCATCTGAATTTTGATCATGTGACCATGGAGATGCTACAATGTTCCTAAGTACGAAAAATGGTCACAAGTCACTTTTTTCAGTGCTGTTGTAACTTCAAATGGTCACTAAATGAAATGTTATAAGTTGAGGACCACTTGCATTTCCCTCCTTATTCCAATACTATGCAGAGGCAGCTTCAAGGTGTAGCAAATGGGCCAGAGTTTGTCTATCGTTATTTTGGAAGGAACATTTTGGCTAATGACCAAGAATAAAAATAGCAGAGCCACAAGAAGGCCTGGCAATGGGGAGAGCATTTTTGTGCTGTCTAATTCTCCAACAAGGCTGAACAGAAAGCTCCATAATTAACAGTACTGTTGCCATTTCTGCAAAGTTTTTTTTAGTATCAAATGCTGTTTTTTTAAATTCAATGAATCCTTTAAATTCTCCCTGTTTTTGAATCTTAAATAAATGTATTGTTAAAAACTTGAAAAATTCGGCAAAATATTTTCCTGAATAAATATACCAATAGCACTTATATACCACTTCACAGTGCTTTACAGCACTCTCTAATTGATTTGCAGAGTCAGCATATTGCCCCTAACAATCTGGGTCCTCATTTTACTGACCTTGGATGATGGAAATTTGAGTCAACCTTGAGACGGTCAGGATCAAACTGCTAGCAGAATTAGCCAGCAATACTGCATTCTAACCACTGCGCCACTATGCCACCATGGCTATCAGAGTCATTTTGGTTAAACCAATGGAGGAAAACCACAACCCCACATCAGCTGTTCTATTCTGCAGGGTTTGATAACATATAATAGGCCCTTAGTCGTCTTCTGAACCTCCAGATTCTTGGAATGGAATGGAATAAAATAACAGAGTTGGAAGGGACCTTGGAGGTCTTCTAGTCCAACCCCCTGCTCAGGCAGGAAACCCTATACCATTTCAGACAAATGGTTGTCCAATCTCTTCTTTAAAACTTCCAGTGTTGGAGCATTCACAACTTCTGGAGGCAGGTTGTTCCACCGGTTAATTGTTCTCATTGTCAGGAAATTCCTCCTTAGTTCTAGGTTGATTAGTTTTCATCCGTTGCTTCTTGTCCTGGCTTCAGGCGCTTTGGAGAATAGCTTGACTCCCTCTTCTTTGTGGCAGCCCCTGAGATATTGGAAGACTGCTCTCATGTCCCCCCTCGTCCTTCTCTTCATTAAACTACTAGTCACACCCAGTTCCAGCAACTGTTCTTTATATGCTTTAGCCTCCAGTCCTCTAATCATCTTTGTTGCTCTTCTCTGTACTCTTTGTAGAGTCTCAAAGATCATTTGGTCAGCCCTACCCCAAACAGTCAGCAAGGTAACAGAGCATGTAGTCACTCTTGGCTGACTTTGACAAAGCTAAACAAAGTCAGATATATGGTTGGTACTTTGATGGAAGACTACCAGCCATTTCCAAGACTGGAGACTAGACAGGGAAAGCAGAAAAAACAATCCACCAAATGCCAAGGCACTTCCAGATCTTCACCAAAAATGCTATGCCTACTACAAGTCAGGCTCAACTTGAGATGTTACCTTTCCTCTTCTCCAAGACCCAGTATGATTTATTTTTAAAATATTGCCTTCCCCCTTCCCATTTCATAAGAAATATAGAAAGCTGATGGCAGAAAAAGACCTAGAGGTCCACTGAGTTTGCCCTTTGAAGTTTTGTTTGTTTTCTTTTTAACTTACTGATTTATTTATTATTTTTAATTATTGTTAATAAAGGAGAATATTTGTAGCTCAGGTTTGAAATGAAGGGTTTCTTGGTGTTCTGTGGGCTTGTTTGTTTTCTTGCAGACGTTTCATTACCTAACTAGGTAACGTCATCAGGGCTAATTTGGGTAATGAATCGTCTGCAAGAAAACAACCAAGCTCAGAGAGCACTATGGGCCTCTCGTTAATTATTTTTATTTTATTTTATAATGTTTGTGGGATGATGGGCATGTGTTTATTGCAAGCATGTTTAAATTCAGTTACTGATAACTGACCCACCACCTTCACTGGAAGTTGGTTCCAAGCTTCTGCTACTCTTTCTGTGGTACTTATGACCACAATTGAGCCCAAAATTTCTGTTATTAAGTGAGACATTTGTTAAGTGAGTTTTGCTCCATTTTATGATCTTTCTTGCCACAGTTGTTAAGTGAATCCCTGAAGTTGATTAGGAACCAGGCTGTTAAGTGAATCTGGTTTCACCATTTTGTTTCTCAGAAGGTCACAAAAAAGTGATCCCATGACCTTGGGACAGTCCTAAGTATGAAACAGTTGCCCAGCATCTGAATTTTGATCATGTGACCATGGGGATGTTACAAAGATTGTAACTGTGAAAAATGGTCATAAATCACTTTTTACAGTGCCGTTGTAACTTTGAATGGTCACTAAACGAACTGTTGTAAGTCGAGGACTGCCTGTAATACTTTCTAACATTACTTTTGAACATCCCTCATGTCAGTTTGGGGTTATGCTGTGTTTTTTATTTTTGCTTAATACTGAAAATGCTGCCTTCATCTAGAACAGTGGTTCTCAACCTTTTTAATGCCGCGACCCCCAACTGGTCGTAAATCGAGGACTACTCAACCGGTTGTAAGTCGAGGACTACTCAACTGGTGCAGCACCGTTTGCAGAATGGGACTTTTGGTGGGCTCAGCAGGGCAGAGACAGCCTGGATAATTCCTATTGGCTTTTGAAAGCGAATAGAATTAGACTCTATTCAAGAGAGTCTATTCTATTGGCTTTCAAAAGCCAATAGAATAAAAGGGAGTAGCGCAGCTAAGAAAAAGGGGGGAAAAATGGCGGACTGCGTTGTTTGACGATCCCCGTGAAATGGTCGTTCGACCCCAAATGGGGTCCCAACCCACAGGTTGAGAACCACTGATCTAGAACATTAGTCAAACTTTAATATATTTAAAGGTTTCAATCATGTTCCCCTCCCCTTTCCCTTCTGTCCTACAGGCTGCACCTATTCAGTTCCTCCAATCTCTCCTGATATGTTTTGTCCCTCAGATCTTCCACCATTTTTGTTCCCCATCTCTGGACTCGCTCCATCTTATCAATCCTTTTAAAGGATAGATGCAATATTATGCTTAATGATCTTTTCCTGGAGGGGAGAGTGAATCAGCTTCTGTTTTTTTCCATCAAGATTTTTGCTCCTGAATGACACATAAGTCCAAAAGGAATGTTGTGCTTCCTTAACGCTTCCAGTCTGCACAACTAAAGGCGATGATATAGGATACTGCAATTGTATACAGTCAGTTTGAAAGCAGTCTCACTGTGAATTTACTTACCAAGACATCCCCTTGGCTATTAATCACTGCTAATCAAACTGGCCTTTTTTTCCAGGCCTAGGAGCAATATACTGGGGCACATGGGTGAAGGTTACTGATGACCATCATGGGAACAGGATGATGAGCTGTGTGGCTCTTTGCTTTGGTTCAGCAGATTCTTTACACTGCATTTTGAAGGTAGCCCCTGATTTCAATGGGAATTCAAACTCTCAAGCTTCCTCCTTCCGTTATATATTCAAGATGGACAGTATTTAATATTTATTTGTTAAGTATATGTAGGGGTGTGGGTCTATACATAGGTTGTATATGGTATGTTTTAGGTGTGTGTCATGTATGTGTTTCACTTTGAGACCGGGCAACTAAATTTCATTTTTGATGTGTGCCGTTGTGCCCACAGTAAAAAAAAATGACAATAAAGGTTATCTTATCTTATCTTATCTTATCTTATCTTATCTTATCTTATCTTATCTTATCTTATCTTATCTTATCTTATCTTATCTTTTCCAATGCCCCACCTTCCCTTTCCCATGGTTTTATAGCTTTCCAGGGCCACTGAACATGCTCACTCTTCACTGGGCTATTTT